GCTCCAAAATCGGAAAACAATTTGAAATTCTTTCTTTTGAACTTGAAAAGCAGCAAGTTATTTTTGAAATTGTATACTTCCACCGAATCGTTGTATACAATAATTAACTCATCGCAATTATATGCACTATCGTAAATTTGTTTCAATTGCATTTCAATGCCCATTTTTAGTATCGCAAGCTCGCGACTAATTCCGTTCATATCAGAGGATAGAGATAAAGAAAATATGAGTCGTGTGATTTTGCAACAAAAAGAAAGGGTGAAAAACACACTGGAAACAATAACAGCGCGCGCATTCCAAGCAAAATTAATAAATGCTTTGTATTGAAACAAAGACGTTCCTTAAAAAAAATACGGTAAATCCACAAAAAATGTGCACCGTGTTCATGATCGTGATCTTGAGTGCAATATAAGAGAGAAGCGCGCGCACAACGAGCACTCCACTCGATAAGACATAGGAATAAAATTGACTGAAAACAAAATGCGCGCGTACGCACACACAAAGAGCATTGAAAACTTGTTAAAGTGCACGGGCGTTCAAGAAATGAGCTGAACGCGAGAGCGGCTTGAAGTTTTCTAGTGATGACTTGCGCTTGCTCGCTTCGCCTGTATTCCAGTAGAAAAACCTGTTCGTGAAACAACTTAGTTTTTGCTTTTGTTTCTGATCGCAGTGGATAAGAAACACGCGTGTATACTTCCAAAGATGTAGAGAAAAAAAAGCACACACACTCAATGCGAATAGAAAAAAATACACGAAAAAACAACTCTTTTTCAAATAGCAATAATAGTCACCGTTTCAAATATATACGAGCAGCATAAATAAATAGCGAGAGCTCGGAACGATGTCGATGTTGGCACAAATAATGGCAAAAATGTTGCAAGTAGAAAAAAAAGCACACATCTCCATACGTACAGAGAGAGAGAGAGAGAGAGAGAGAGAGAGAGAGAGAGAGCAATCTACATGACAATGGTTGTGCAACACATGAAATTGCGTGTGCGTTCATTTCAATTCTGCTGGATTCTTGCTACTTCTTTTTCAATCCAATTTTGTGTGGCACATTCGTTGTATCGATATGTACAAACAAATGTGGTTTTGTACATGCGTTATTCTTTCATCGTCGTTTTTTCATTGTTGTTGTGGTTGCTGCTGTTGTATCCTATGTTTCGCAGTGCGCTTGTTTATAAATAAATGTTACGTGGTTTTGTGTGTGTATGTGTGTGTGTGTGTGTGTTCATTTGTTTGTACGTTTCTGCAATTGACTGGTGAGGGTTTGCGACATTTTGTGCACAAATCGCAATTTCTCGAATGGTTTTTTTTTGCACAAGACGACTCTTTTTGCGTCAATTTATGTGCGGTGTATTTTGTTTGACGCACAGTGACAAAGAGGTCTCAATGCATTGCACTTGGTTGAAGCTCAAGTGTGAAGACATTTATGAAGTGAATTGAGTAAATAGTATGATCGTCCTCATAATTACAGTCATCGTTCGACACGACTCAAATCGCGAAATGGTAATAAAACACGCGCATTTCACTGCTACTGCTGGCAATCGCGAAACCGGAGCATTGCATACCTGACCATTTATGTAGTGTTCATTGAACGACGACAACTGAGGTGGTGGCTCACACCGACCGTATTTGTATCACCCATGCATATTGTAGCAACTGAACTTGTGCCATTGAAATGTGAACTGATTTCACATGAAACATTCCTTCATTATCATTTATTACTATTATTGTTGAGCAAACGGGCGCGCGGCATGTGTGTTGCCTCTGGCACTCGAGTTTTCTCGTTGAATGTGTGCGCTTATGAGCTCGTTTCACAGCCCAACGATGTGCACATTTTAACGGTATTCCCTATCGCGTACAGCGTCGCATGCAGAACAGAAGAAAAACACGCGTAAATATTCGCGTGTGCGATTTCGAACGCGGGCTTAATCTAATGGAATCATTTATTAATTTTGACGGCGACAAACCCATTGACTGACTTGACTTTGAATTGACCAAGTCGTTTGTGTGTGTGTTTTTCTCTGCTGCGCGCCAATATTCTGTTTTCGCTTCCATTTCAAGCACAAACATGAATACCAAATACCAATTTGTTGGGATTTATAACACCCCTGCGAAAGACCTAGAGAGCAAAATAGAAAGAGAATGAGTGATACAAATCAAAACGACTAATGGAATTCAGTTTGACACGGCCTGGTAGATATTTTTAGTTCATACATTCTTTTGCCTTGCTGATTGTTTTCAGCCAGTCTTTGCGCACATATTCACCTTGCTGGCGAATGAGCACTCCCAATGGAAAATGAGAGCACTTTGAATGATAACGCGCGATGACTTCATTCAGCGCAATAAAAACACAAACAACAAACTCATTTATAAACAAAAGACACAGAAGGAAGTGTGAACACCATTTTTTCTGAGAACAACCGCACGACTACCAAACATAATGGTTCCATTCAAACTGTTCATTTCATTTCAGTTCAAATTGACTAAGAGAAAGAGACAGAGGGAGAGAGAGAGAAAGAGAATGAAGAAGAACCTCACAAGAAATGACTCATCCGCCTCATTTATTATGTATTTTCGGCTATTTGAAAACGCACAATTACGAAAGCGTAACAATAAATGGTAAAATTACACACGAAATATTTCGAGGAAAGTCGCAATGGATTACACAATTGTCAGAGAGTGTGTTTAAACGAATGGATAATGCACGGAATTCTCCGACGGACTCATTTAAAATGCTGTCAACGTTTGTCAGCGCTAACAAATACAGTGATAATGAGTTTCCAATAGTGCGGCGCGGAAAAATTGTGCATTTCATGCGGGAAATGAAGCATTCGTTATGGAGAATAATAACGAGACAGAAAAAATGGTATTCTTTAACACCACAAATGATGGGCTTGGGCACATTCAAAACTTGCAAAGAATCACTAGAAACACACATTCTTCACCGAGGCCAAGAAATTGTTGCCTACATTTTCGTTAGTGTGTTATTCAACGCGGAAAAAAAGAACGTTTTAACTTCTGCATTCCGGTATATTTGAATCGCATATATTTATAATTTAATCCGTTCGAACGCGAGCGAGCACAAAAAAATATTGGCATTTCACGGAATGCTTACGACGACGTTGAGCGCATATTTTCCATGACGAAAGCCTCAAATGACACACAGAGCCGAAACACCGTGTAGAGAGAGAGAGAGAGAGAGAGAGAGAGAGAGAGAGAGAGAGAGAGAGAGAGAGCAAATAAAGCGAAACCAAAAAGAAGTCATCCGAATGATAATATGCGACGTTTCGCGCTCACTAAGCATATGTGCATATTTTATGTAAACAAATCGGCATAAAGTACGTGGCATTTGCCTTAACTCATTCTCATTGCACATTGCGACAAATGCAGTCGAACGAGAGACGAGCTCGAAAAATGAACAGAATTGAAGAGAAAAAAACATAAAGAACGCAACGAATCAACATAAATAAACAAACACACACACACGAAAAAAAGATTGTAGAAGGAGGAGGGAAAAAAGCAGCAGCACCTATGAGAGATTGTGCATACATTGTAGAATAATGTCCAATCGATATCGCAACGTCATTACGCGATTTGGCCGTGTGACCGAAGCACTACACTAGCAGCTGCATTGGCTTCACCACCACAACCGCATACAATTGAGACACACAGAGCTCCGTGGTGCTTAACGGCAAAAATTCACTGATTCATTTTAGAATGCAAAAGCGTCATTGCATTTTAACATATATTGACTCGTTAAGTTGGGTGTGCTATACTATCAAATGCATAAGTTTTTCGTTGTCGTCGTCTTCGTTGTCGTCGATGACCGAAAATCACACAAGAACACATTTCCGTGGCGTCAATATCCATATCCAATATCCGTAAATTCCATTCTGCGCCCTCGACCCAGCCGCTCACAGCATATAATTGGTTTTAAATGCATTGCACTTTTGTCCCCCTTTCGATTGAATTCGCCGCTGGGTTTTTGTTGATTAAATTTGTCCGATAGCTCGTGAAAAAACGCAGTTACAAAAAAAAAACGATAATAAGCGGTTTGGTAGAGAACGTTAAATAGACACAAAGAAATTATCGATTTCATTTGACCTGGTTTTGATGACGACGGCAACATCGACGACGCTTACGAGCTCGCTCTAGCTCACAATCGCATTGTCTTTGTGTACGACTTGCGGTGACGACTTTTTCGCCAAACAAAGAAACGTAATTAAAGAAAAAAGTTTGACGGTTGTCACAAACAGAGCACTCAGCCCAAACCCCTCTTTAATTCATTATCTAACGCTTGCGTCGATAAAGTGATTATGAAGGTTTTTCTTAGCGATTACAAACATAAGAAGCGTGATATCATTTCGATTTTTGCGGCACATCATAAAATGTACGAATTTTGTGTGTTTCAGCATATAATCCACACATTGCTCGCATTTATTCACTTACGGATGATTCATAAAAAAACACATTTTTGCTCGAATTGTATCGTCTTCGGGTGACCGCATACAATTCGCCGAAATAAAGACATTTGAGCCACAATTCCGTTTGTCTGCTTGCATGCAATTTGTATGCCGAAACAGCAAATTTCAATTTAAACATAACATTCATATCGTCTGGTAAACCGTAATTATATTATAGTTGGTGTTGTTTAAGCGTGCACATCGTTGCCTTCGCCGAGCCGGAACAGCTTTCTTGCGTATCATTTGCCGACACATACGACAACAGCACATGGATGTTGACTTTCCAGAAATTCAATTTTCATTACTCGCTATTTATGGAACAAACAGACTCATTATGTGCTCTCTTAATCTGGTTACAAAACCTTTTTTAGTATTGTCTCGTTGTTTGTCGTTGACGCGACTTCGGTTAGAATCGTTTTTTGATGGGCATTTTATCACATTTCTCCTCCTTTTCTTCCTTTGTAAACGATAAATAACAAATGAACTTCGTTTGAATTAATGATAAACTCCTCTCGAATCCCATCTTTCCAGTTAGTGCAATAGTCGAATATAATTACACGGCAAAGGAGTCGGATGAAATAACGTTAGTTAAAGGTGCCATTATCAATAATATAAAGCGGCAATCAGGCGGCTGGTGGGAAGGTACATTGGCATCAACGGGCAAAACAGGCATGTTTCCCGATAATTTTGTGCGCGTTCTCGAATCGGACGACAAAAGTCCGGTAGTGCTGAGGTTAGTGTTTATCTATTTATTTTCTTTTTATCATTCCATGACTTTTGAATATTATCTTTTTCTCTCTAAAATCCCGACAGAGATAAATCGGAGACGAAGAATCGGCGATGCAAAGCCGTATACAGCTATACACAGAACAACAATGATGAATTGACTTTGGCCGTTGGCGATATTGTTGAGTTTTTGGGCGAGGTCGAAGAAGGTTGGTGGCGCGGCAAATTATCCGGCAAAATCGGAGTCTTTCCATCGAATTTCGTAGAAGTGTATCAAAGTGCATCGCCAGTGTTTGCAAAACGTATCAGCAATAATAACGGCACAGCGAATAACAATAACTCACGCAGTGGAGCCAGTTTGAATAGTTCTAGAGAGGATTTGGTCAGCAGCAATACTTCCACAAGCAGCGAAAAAGATGCCCCAAGTCTGCCACCAAAGCCAGGTACAGAACGAAAAAAAAAACCACTCGAATCGTTTTTAGAAATGTGTTAATGTTCATTTTGAGCATAAATTTAACACTCAAATGCCACCGTTGAAATTGGAGTGAGAGTGACAGTGTGAGAGAATGAGCATATAATTAGCTCAAAATTCAAATTCATTGTCTTGGTACACAAAGGTCAAAGTGTGCAAATTTATTGCTTTTAAACATGTGGCTTTCGATGTGTATGTGATTCAAACACACACGTACGCCCTCCACACGAGGTCGCTACTAAGCGATAAGTGAGCGACTCTGTGCATGTGCCAACTGGTGTTTACAATCAGTAATGATCGTTATACGTTACTGAGCCTGTGTGCGATGGCATTTGAAATGTGATGGTTCAAAATGAACTAATCAACACATTTTTAATTCGATTTTGAAATATTCATATCTGTTTTTTTTGTTGTCATCGTTTATTTTGCCTTCGCATGTCGTGGGCTGTGTTCTGTTTGTTATTTCTGGATCGCAAAATTATTCCTTGTCGCGCATCATTGACACATCAACACAATTTTTTTTTCTTCTGTCATTTGTAGTGCGAGAAGTGTGCCGAGTAATATTCTCATATAAGCCCGTGAACGAAGACGAGCTGGAATTGAAAGAGGGTGAAATTATTACGGTATTGAGTAAAGAACTGCCGGACAAAGGCTGGTGGAAAGGTGAATTGAAAGGAAAAGTCGGCGTATTTCCCGATAACTTTGTGCAATTGATTGTCAACGACGGTAAGTGATTGAAATTCGACTGAAGCGTCTTACTCAGAAGACATTTCAATGCGAAATATGACGTTATCCTATTCTATTATCCTAACCATTCTAATATCATTTATATCGGTTTCTTTTAGGATCACCTCAAAAAGATCATTCAAATCATACGCCCGAACGGCCACCATCGACCACAAAACTGTTGATTAACAATAACACAAATAGCAACAGTAAGAAAATGGAGGGATTAGGTTCAAGAGACTCGCTAAATGACACCGGCATAATGGCGGGCAATGTGGCAGCATATCGAAAATCATTGGAGAATAAATGTAATGAACCACAACAGGTCACAACGCGTCGAACGCTAATCGAAACAAAATCAACGGCCGAAATCCGCAAAAGTCTGGAGAATTTGGATGATCGAAAATCGACACCACCACCGTTGACCAAAAAACCGGTTGTTCCGATCAAAAAGTCGCCAACCGTTGGCAGCGTTGCGGGCAACATATTCTCGGGCCTGAAGCAGAAAGTGAAGAGTGTCGAACAGAAAATTACCCATCACGATAGTTTAGATGGAGTTGGTAGCAGCAAAGCTGTAAGCCATGTGGCCGATAACAGTGAGAAAGGAATCAGTGGAGAGCGATTGCATCGTGACGATACGGAATTCGATCAAGTCGAACGAAACTCATCGATTCTGCCGGATATGCGAGCACAACGAGCTAAAGCACCGAAACGACGGTTGCCTTCATCGAATTCAACGAATTTGAGCGAAAGTTTGTCGTATCAAAATGGTGGTGGTGGTGGTGATTCACCAACACCCGCCTCGCCCATTCTAACGAACGACTCGAGCATCAACAAATCCGAAGAGGATCTAACCAAACCGGCAAAACAACGCGGATGGGAAAAGAATAAAGCCCCATGGATGGATGAATTGAAAGCTAGTCAAGCCAAGAAAACGTCACCGGGCAGCATTGAAATGCGCTCACCAGAGAACAACAGCAGCCACAGCAACAACAACGACAGCAACAGTTCCGATCACAAAACAACATCTAACAGCAATTCATTTAACAGCAGCCATAAAAAGGAAATAAACACATTCGAAGTGCGAAGCAGCAGCGTTGACATCAAAACAAGCAGTGATTCAACATTCCATAGCAATTCGATGAGGAAGGAGCCCGTTGACAGCTCAATGGCTAAATCGTTGTCATCGTTGGCAACAAAAATTTCCATTTCAGATTCATCAACAGCAGCCGCAACCACAACAACAACGGCCACCGCCGCAGCGGTTAGTGATGAGAATGCAACCAACAATGGTATTAAGGTCAGTTGAGAGTTGTCTTTTTTCCAGCCTATTTATAAAAATGTATCGTTTGAAAAGAAACTTCTAATGTAAAAAAATATGTACTTTTTTCACACAGGGACGGCCGACGAGTGTAACACTGCGCAATGTGAATCTACCGCCGGTAGGACGTTTGACAAAAACAATCCACGACAATGGTGGCATCGTACAAACATCAACAGCAACAATCACAAGCAAAACAGCTACAATCATACAGGATGATGTAACAAATCATTCGGGACCAACCGTCACCACAGTCACCACGGATAATGTGTGTTCACGCGTTGCTGAACTGGAATTGCGCGTATCGCAACTGGAAAAGTTGGCACAAAGACAAAATCACACCATCGAACAGCTACTCAAATCCCTGAAGGATGAATCGGACAAGGTAAAAACATTGAAACACGAACTCGATAAATATGCTCAATGTGTAACACAAGTCTAATCTTTCTCCATCCATAATAATTATTATTATCTTTCTCTCACATGCTGCATTTTTTGTTGTTGTTCTGGAACGGATTTACACGAATGCATTTCGATCTCCACTTTGTTTATGGATTCGATTGCATTTCTTTTGTACTTTTTTTCTCGTTGTTTTTTTTGTTTGTTTTTTTTTGTTGTTGTTGTTGCTCAACAACAACAAAATATGATATTTATATATCGTTGGCCTTTTTATTATTTTCGAAATCATCTATATAATCTGTCATGCAACATTATTCTTTGTAAATGGTTGGCAACATCAACAACAATAATCGAAACATGTTATCATTTTGGTCACATCTAAAACTATTGTATTATTTACTTACATAAAAAAAACAATTTAAATAAATCATTTTTTACACACAACGAAACCAATTACTTTCGATGTTGCATTAACTTCGAAAAATTTAGCATCACAGACCATCAACACCTAAGGCTTATAACCGATACAAATGATAGAAATACGTAGAAATAATCACACACACACACACATTTTTTTTGGACAAATACTATTGTAACAAAAAAGATAATATTTGTAACTGTTTTTGTATCAATAAAAACAAAATAAAACAAAAGATTATATCATTGGAATGAATCAAAAGAAGAGACTAAAATTTGGAACATAATTATGAAACATAAGTTTAGACACAGACAAAAGATATCGAAAATTGTATTGAATTAATATAACAAATGGTTTAGGTAAATTTCAAAAATATCATTTGCTTCGGCAGTTCGTTTTTTTCCTGTGAATAATATCCACTAGGAATAACCAAAATATCATATTCATTTGATGAGATACAAGTAAAAAAAAAGATAAAAAAAATATTTACAACATATTACATATTTTATTTTGCTAAAGCTGCGCGCATATTTACTCTGTACTACAACAAGCATCTTAACTAAGCATTAACTTTTACCTTGATATATTTGAAGCAAGCCGCATTGAAATTCTAAATGAACAGCAAATTTGTTGATGTTTAATTCAAGAGAAAATGATATATTAATCGAAAGGGCTTATCGACCTAGTTGAAAGCTATCGATTTAATTTCCACAACCACCAAGCACACAAGTGATGACGAAACAGCAAAACAGCGAATTCAGCTGATGATGATGGTCAATATTCAATCTCGATCAAATTAATGTCATTAATAAATTCAAGGGAGGGAGGGAGAGAGAGAGAGAGAGACTTGTTGCTTGGTGACGTTTCGTTTCCAATGCCATTGTCTAACGCATCATGCTCAATGTTGAATCAATCTAACCAATTAAACGCCTAATTAACTCTTCGCCGATTGCAATTCACTAGGGCACAAACACATCTCGTCAAGTCAATTTTTCAACTAATTAATTCATTTAAATGTTTCTGGTGCTTCTTCTCTAATTCTTTTGATTTTTTTAATTCGTTATTGTCATTTGCCTTGCTAGGCAAATGTGTTTAGCTGAAAATTAGTGTTGGTGTCGTAATTGATTTTGATTTTGCAAATTTAATTTTCAAACGAAATAATTGTTTACAGAAGCGAAAAATAATTCTGATGCTTGAGCCAATCGCATCCGAGCTACATCAAAATCGACGTACAAATTCAGAGAAATGATGAACGATTTACGGTTGACATGGCGCATTTACATTGGAGACACGAAGCATTCTTGTTTCTATCTAGCTTGCTTGGTTGGTTTTTTTTATGCAAACGAGCGAAGAAGAAATGAACAAGTTTGATTATATTTGCTGAGAAATATTGAGGGGAAAAAACCTTGAAATAAATAATAATGATGAGGAATTGGAAGGTGTGATATTGCCATAATTATTCGATTACATTAGATGGGTTTAGAGTGAAATATTTTTTACTTTTTTAACTTTGCGAAAAAAAGAAGAAAAAACACAAAATGAAGTATCCACACATATTATTATGTAGTAATGATAGAAAAAAGTAACATTTAGAAATCAAATCAACGATTTATCTATGCTCAATTTACTATTCCTCCCCTTCTTTTTTCTTTCTTTTTGTGTTCTTTTTTTTCCCTCTCTTTATTCCATATCAATCAAATTGTATTAATGAGCGAGTATTTATTCTTGAATTCCATAATTTTAAACACGAGCAAATTCCTATCCACTCTCGAAAAGAAATAACAACAGAACACACGTATTGGACAAAAGACAATTTATGTAGTTTTAATGCCAATTTCAGTCATTTTATATTCTAATAGAATTTGAGTTTAAGCTATCTATATTACCTAATTATTCTATGTATTAAGCGAAGCGAGTTTTTCAATCAACAACGACGAGTTTTACTGGTCTACGCTGAATGGAATGGAAAAATTCAAAGAAAATTGACCAAAAAGAACATAAAATGAACTCGACATTCCCCTTCAGTTTCGGAACATTAAATTTTAAATTTAATACTTTCGCAAACAAATTCGACAAATGAAATGTATTTGACAAGGAAAAACCCTCTCCCCACACGAAACGAAACTTGTTGAAATGCATTAACGAAGTGAAATGATACGGAATTGAAATACAAGTGGAATTAAATTTTTTATTAAAAAAAAAGTAACAATTTCCATTGAATTAGAAAAAATGTAGTTTTTCCATTGGATAAAAATAAATTATTGAAACGATATTTTTTGTCCCATCAATGTAAAAAAAAATTCCATTCGGTAAACACGACCGATAAAAATAAACAATTTTTGCAATTTAAATTGCAATATTTCTTGCAGTTACGGTTATTGCGACTTCCATGTTTACCTGGCTTTTACAAAAATCGACTACTAAACAAAATATTATCATAGACAGAAGAAAAAAATTGATGATATGAAATTTCATATTTACTTATATAGATTAAATCATATTCAAATAAAGCTTTTATAATGTAACATGTGGAATTCCTAAAAAAAATGAAAATTGCAGTAATTTGTATTTGACTACAAAAACACTATTTTGTGTGCAAACAAGAAAAAACAAAGATTGATTTGGACACGATTGAATTCGCATCCGATTGGAGTTCAGATAATTAATTTCTAAGTGAATCGATTCAGTATGCGTGAAATGCCTATTTTGTAAAAAAAAAACGAAACAAGAAGAACAAAAACATTTAAGAACCCTTGAGAATAATATTAACGTAACGCTGTAATATAAATATAAATATATATGAATTCGCCTATGTTGTACTTGATAAAAAATAGAAAAATCAAATCTAATAAAAATCCAATTTTATTACTTTCACTTTGTCCAACGGGATTTCGATTGGGATATTCTCCATACGAATATAAATAGGTGAGTTGAGAGTTTTTTTTTGCAGCAAATCCTGTATATAACACACCGTAGTTTTTGTTTGAAAACAAATAAGTTTTCATTTATGTACATAAATAGAAGGTGTGTCTGCATTCCAACATGCAACATGTTGCATGTCACATAGCACTACTCTGACTAGCAACGCAACATTACCAATGCGTCAGTGGTTGAATATTATTTTAGTCTCAATTAAGCGCTAAATCCATACGATTCGTCCGAGAAAATACACACCAAATTTAATTCATAGAGTGTATTTGGCCATAATTTTCAATCATTTCTTGGCAATATTGATGTTTCCTGCGTAAAACAGATGAAATATGAATGTAACGTGATAAGCAAATGGGTTGTGAAATGATATGGACGTTAAATCACAAAGAAACATACACATTTGTCGGGTAAGTATATGAAAATTTGCATTGACACTGCGAAAAAAGGGCTGAGCACTTCAGCTTAGCTTATCTTTTGCATGTTCGAACGTATTTGCTACAACGAGAAATATCTCTCGTCTAACGCTTCGGTCGGTAAAATGACAAGAGTAGTAAAGGAAAAAAGCAAATCCATTCAGTTGTATATAAACGTAAATTGTGAGGCGCGTGCATTTGGAATGCTCACACACCCAAACACACATTTATCCACACGATAACGGTCTACATTTGAATACGCGACGGCGAGCGTGTTATGGGGAAAAGGATCGTTGTGCAAATACTACGTCGACGGTTTCCTCTTTTTTCCGCTGCTTTATAAATATTTTGATTTAATCATTGTGCGTAACGTAAATCGAGGGAGAGAGAGAGAGAGAGAGAGAGAGAGCACGCAACATGCAAGTTGGATAAAATGCGCGTACGTACGTCGGAAAACGGAACATTTGGAAATTTCGCTGTAAATAAAATAAATGATTTGAACTACAAGCTGTTGCTCTCTCTCCCGTTGCGTGTGTTTACACGAATAAAATGCAAACAATATCCATATCAAAGCTTTTTGCTTTTAATCCATTGCTTTGTATCGCTTTCGATTCATTTATTTACCGCCGCCATAGGCTTTTCACGATGACTTTCGTATGTGGTATAAAAATAAATGTGCTCGCCGTATACTGAATTTCAAAATTCAATTGTCTACGAATATTGGGCTGACTGTCAAGGCGAAAAGAGTAATTTCACTCCGACCAATTTGTATAATGATAATTTAAAATTGCGTGTCGGATCATCGACACGTTCAAGCCCAAACCACACATCTTGAGCTGCTGTTATTGAGAACATTTGGAGCGGCGACAGCAGCTAAGTGATATGAAGGTGAGAGCTTGAAGTTTGTTGAAATTGGTTGGTTGCTCGCATTTTTGGCGATTTCGCCATTGATCGCTTTTGGAAAAATTACCGTGACGGAAGAAAACCATACACGTGCAACTCTTTAATACTGGGTCTTTACCAATTTTGTATAGTTTAGTATAGTATAATCTCTCGTGTTGTGCCATCATGTATGTATCTCATCCTCTTTGACATAATTGTATGCGAAATCGTCGAATGCTGATTTGTGTTCAAATGAGTTCATTTAAAAATCCACCGAGCTTTCGTTTGAAAAGGTAGAAGGAGCCATAAAGCCTTGTCACACATTCCTCGTTGATGTAGAAACGCTTCACCAATTCGACAGTGCGAGCAACAATTCGACAGTCATTTACATCGCTTATGTGCTCCTAATATTATGTATGCTGACGCTACTGCTTCTTTTGATGCTTTTGTTCCTTCAGTCGTTGCCACACACACTAAGGATCGATGTGTGCCCCGGTATGGAAAAAAATATAGCAGCAAATGCTCAAGAGAGCGCCTTATAACGGTGCAAATGCTCGATATAAATATAAAAAAATATACCTTCTACCATCCGACACTGTTGCATGCTTCGTTGATTGTGTATGACGCGCCGTTCTCTCTCTCTCTCTCTCTCGGCTCTGTTTATGTTATTCCAGTATCAGAAACCGTAGCTATATACCATTTTGTGTGATCGCCTGCAGTCCTGCGATACCCGTATTGAGAGAACGACAGAACGAATGAACGAGAGGGAAAGAGAAGGAGCGAGACTGGATGAGGATATACAAACCGTGCTGTATCCAAGGTATATAAATTGCTGTGTGCTGTAACCCCCCAAAAGATTTCGCATCGCCGTCACACTGAGCTACACAGAGAGAGCGACAGTCAACGAGGAGACCAAATGAGTTTCAGTGATATTTTTCCCAAAGCAGACGAGCTGCAAAAACAGTATTCGAATTGCTGCCGTCAAGTGAAAACGTACATAAATTATATTCAGTGTGTGATTTTCTGCTTTTCCGTTACTTCGTTACTCAGTTGTGTGTTGTTCGTGTTCTATCGTGCATATTCTACTGTCTATTATTTCTTTTTTTGATCTGTTGTGTGTCGATTCGGAATTTCTCGTTCTCTTGTTCGCACATCATTCATTTTCGGTCAATTGAAGGAAAGGTGCGTTCATAAAACGATTAATAAAAATAAAAGTACACACAAACAAATACTTACTCGACCGATGGAAGAAAACACACATATTGTGTGTGTATGGACCAAAAGCAAAACCAAAGTAAAATGACCATAAAATATTTTGTGCATGAGCGAAAAATTCCGACAATCAATTTAACGGACCAATTTTTTTTTATCTCATCCTCTTTCTCTGTGCTCCTCCTTTCACAATATCGGCCAAGATTCCTTTTCTTTTCCCTTAATTCGTTTGCCAAATATGTTGCGTGTGTATATTGTTAGTTCTCAAGTTTGCATCGATCGGACGTGCTTCTTATCACCTTGAATTAAATTGAATGTTACCATTTCTACCTGCGTGTCAATTTTTCATCTTTGTGATCCATAAAAAATTATGTTCTGTTTATGTTGCATGTCGTTCAAATACATGACATTCTCACACTCTCGCCGCCGCCATCAACACCACCCCAAAACATTTTGCTTCATTTTCTGTCATCCAAATTCCCTGAATGCTCTGCATTGTTGTTACGATAACCACGGCGACGACCAAGTTTCTGCACAACAATTTAGCAATGTTGACGCTATTGTTATCACTGATTACATACTACACAACACATTTTTGCTGTGCGTTTTCGATGTTTGGCTAGTTTATGACATTTTTTGTGCTCGACCGAGCTCTTTCTTTGTCTCATCTTGCTGTGATGCCCGTATGTGAGTGTATAAGTTAATATCACCCTCGGTTAACTTTCAAAAATATCTTTGTGGTACTACTGTGTCCAAAAAGTAAGGTGACATTGCATTTAAAATTTAGCGCGCTGGGGAATTTGAAAAAATCCTTTTATTTTTAGGTTGGTAGGACTGTCTTTGACATCCCTGCCAAATTACACGTCAAAATATTCATTAGTGTTTGAGATACGCTTCGTTTTGTGGACTGCTAAAAGTGAATTTCTCGTTTTTTGCGATGTCGAAATTTGTTGATCAAAGAATTTGCATTAAATTTTGTTTGCGGAATCAATTTTCTGCTGCGGATTCGTTGAGGATGGTGCAGAAAGCCTTTGGTGATGAGGCTATGTCGAAAAAAAATGTTTACAAGTGGTATAGTGAGTTCCAAGCAGGCCGTGAATGTGTCGAAGACGAAGAGCGTGCTGGGCGACCATCAACCTCAACCGACGAAGCTCACGTCCAAAAAATTAAAGATTTGGTGTTGGAAAACCGTCGATTAACGATTAGAGACCTTGCTGATGATATTGGCATATCGAAAGGCTCAGTCAATACCATTTTGAAGGATGTTTTGGGCCTCAAACGCGTCAAATCTCGACTGGTACCGAAATCATTGAATTTTTTGGAAAAAAGGTGTCGAGTTGACGTGTGTGAAACAATGCTTTCTGACTACATTGACAAGACGAAATGCATGATCACTGGAGACGAGACTTGGATCTATGCTTACGACCCGGAAACAACCGACCAATCGAGCGAATATCGTGCCAAAGGTGAGCCGAGACCAAAAAAACCGCGCCAAAGTCGCTTAAAAATCAAGGTCATGTTGACTGTTTTCTTCGATTGTCGGGGTGTTGTGCATTATGAGTTCCTTCCCCCGGGTCAAACAGTCAACAAGGAATATTATTTGAGTGTTATGCGTCGTTTGCGTAACGCTATCCGCCAAAAGAGGCCGGAATTGTGGAAAGACAACTCTTGGTTTTTGCACCATGATAATGCATCGTCTCACAATGCGATCATTCTTCGTGAACATTTCGCCAAAAACTCGACTCATATCGTTCCACAACCACCGTATTCACCTGATTTGGCACCGTGCGACTTCTGGCTGTTCAACAAGCTCAAAAGACCGCTCCGGGGACACCGTTTTGAGACGATAGAGCAGATTGAAGCCGCAGCGAAGACGGAGCTGAGGGCCATCCCTGAAGTCGACTTTTTCAACTGTTTCGAAGATTGGAAAATCCGTTTGCATAAGTGCATTGTATCGGGAGGGGATTACTTTGAAGGCGATGAAATTGATTTGGAAGAATAAATAAAGAATTTTCAAAATAAATGCAATGTCACCTTACTTTTTGGACACAGTAGTATAACAAAATACACAAAAAGTCGTCTTTTGTCGTGTTCGACAGGGGCGTCCATTGTTTGTTTGCTGTGGTTCGTTCCACAAACATGCGTTGGATATTCCAATCCAGTGCCATTATTTATTGCCACTTTGCTTGCGATGTTTATTTCTATTATTTCTTACATCGATTGTTGCTTTTGGATGCTTCCCAAACTCCATTAAGGAGTTGCCATTTCATTTGTCCGTTTCACGTTTTATTGACGTATGATGATGACGACGACGACAGCGTCGCCGGTGCTGAACAACAAATATCATACGCACACACATATCCTGCAGAAGAAAAGGAAAAATCAAGAAAAGATACAACTAATGAAATTGATTCAAA